ACCACAAGGGCACACTGCTGGCTCATGGTCAGCTTGTCACCCACCAAGACTCATGGGTCCCTCTCTGCAGAGCTGTCCTTTAACAGATTTGCCCCCACAACCTGTGCTGGTATTTGGGGTTATTCCTCCCCAGGTGCAGGACATTACATTTGCCCTTGTTGAACCGCATTAGGTTCCTCTACACCCAGTTCTCCAGGCTACCAAGGTCCTACTGAGGCAACAACAGCTTTCAGGTGTACCAGCTGCTTCCCCCAGTGTTGTATCATCAGCAGCCTTATGTAGGGTACATTGTATTACTTCATCCAGGTTGTTGACAAACAAGCTGAGTAAGACCGGACACAGTAGTGATCCCTGGGAAACACCACTGACTACAGGCCTCCAATTGGATTCTATTCCACTGTCATGACCTTCTGAGCTCTGCCATTCAGCCAGTTCTTGTTCCACCTCCTCTGTCCATTCAAGCCACATTTCCTGAGGTTACCTACGAGGATGTTATGGGAGACACTGTCAAAAGCCTTGCTGAAGCTGAGGTAGGCTGCTCTCCCTGCATCAACCCATCCTGCCATGCCAACTTAACAGAGCTGCAGCAACTGTAATGCATTTGTTGTAAATGTTTGTCTAAGAATATTTGAATATTTATTCAGAAAGTATCAATCTATATTTCTTTAGTCCATCTTTTTTTGGTTTTCCCCCTGAAGTGAATCAAATCTGTATTCTACCCTGGTGTGGACAGATAGAGAGAAATTTCAATCTCTAATAGGAGATGTTTAAAAGGATCACAAAAATTGGCTGGGAAAGAGTTCAAAGTGTATTTTTTTAACACTTTAATAATGCAGGGGGATTGAATGGCACCTCGCCATATGCAGAAGTCCATTTTAAGCCAGGAGGAACTGTTTAGTGGTTTTGGGCTGTGACTGTATCTTTGGAACCACAGATCTGACTTCTCTCAGGATTGATCATTCTTTGTTGCTTTTAAAGCACTGAAGGTAAATTGAATACCACGTGGTTTACTGGAGTTACCTAACATTAAGTCCCATTTGGACAGGAATCCCATAATACTTTTCATATAAAATTTGAGAACTTTGGGAAAAAAGATTTCCATTTTCTGCCTGTTGTTTTACAGTTCTATTGTATTCCTAGTCTGTGTTTCAGAAGTACTGTTATACAATTTTTAATTGTGGAACATTTAATGAAGGATTTGTAAACACTGAGCAAGAGAAAATCAGCATCATTTTTCCCATTTATTCACAAAGAAGCAGAGATAGGTAAGAGAGTGGGGGCCTTGCTACAGCTGGCTAGCTAGTCAGCTTTGTGCCCCAATATAGCTTTGGTCTGCCTTATTCAAAACTCCCAATGCTTAACTTATCTGATAAAGCCTTGAATGTTTGTAGTCTTTAGCAAACCTTCACATCTTAAAAGTTGTACTATTTAATGGCCCTTGCCTTTGCCCCTTCTGAGCCACATGCTAATACTTTTATTAGTATTTCCTTTAAATTGTCCATCGTTTTAGAAGCAGCTGTAAGTATCCAATGCAATATCAAAAGACAGGTATTGTGGTTTTTTCCTCAAAGCTGTGTCAACTTCAGATATAGAAAAGTCAGAGATTCTGGCTCAAAGCCTGACTCAGGGCAATGGAGGCAAACAACAAAATGCTGTGCATAGCTCTTATTTGATTTTCTGAGTTTTCAATTTGTAAATAGCAGGAGATGCACAGTGCAGCCTTTGGAATCAACAGGTTTCCAAAAAGGCAATGCCCAATAGGAGCCTAGTAGGGGAAGAACTATCTTTATCTACATTAAAAAAAAACCCACACATGTGGGAGCACACTATTCATTTCCATGAAATTGATTGCTTTGTAGTAATAACATCTAATAAAGCAGAGGGTGAATATCTCCTTCCAGATAAACAATGATTGTAAGCAAGGCAAATACAGTGGAAGACACATTAAACAAGCTTAATCAATTTTTAGGGAAGAGACTTAGTGACAGTATCTTAGCTAGGGAGTAGTTTAATATGTATCTGTACTCTCATCATTCCTTAAGCCACAAAGAGATCACTGGTAGCCTGAGCAAAGCAGCCACATGAACATGGAAAAGACAGGTAAAGTAAATTCACAGCATCACAAACTGTTTAACTTGCATAGTCTAGGGAGGGATAGAATGGGGAGAGAGAAAAGGACTAACAGACCTTATAGAAGAGTTAATTGATCTGATTCCCCCTATTTTAAACAGTTTACTAAAGCAAACTTATTCCCTAGGGAAAATCATATTCTGTTTAGACTGATTTATAAGGTGTAAGATGATCTGTTGTCATCTGGAGCATAACTAGTTTCACAAGAGACTAAGAAATGTTCTCTGTCTTTTCTCGTAAGAGGTTTTATTTAAAACCACAATGTTGTGCACTGTGGCATTGTGTAATTACCAAAAAAACTATCAGATATGGGCACTGTGTTGTTATTTGTATCTACCACTGACTTTCACAATCCACATACAAATATGTATAACATGTTTTTTTCTTACCCATTTACATCTGCCTTAGTAGGGATTATACTTGTGCACTGTCAATTGATCATTTGGAACTGAGGAAAAAGTTAGCAGGACCATTGCAACAACTCAGTCATTCTCAAACCACAGAAAAACTGCCTCCGTCACATCCTTTTAATTCTTTATGCTTATCTTGGCTCTCACCTTTGTTTTTTTCAGGTTTTGTTCCCCATTTTAAGGTTGCACTAAGTGTGTTTGTGATGGAGTTCTCTTATACTTTGCATTTGGCTATGACTGAGTCACAATCCCTTTTAAAAACCACAAAGTAACACAAATTAATTCAATGATGAGATTTATATCAATCTGGGTTTAACCACATTACTCAAAAAATGTAACATCTAGCCTTACCACAGGAATCCACATGAGAAACTATTTAGGTTTTTGCCTTTAAGTGGAAAGAAAGAGAAACTAATTCAAACCTGTCCATTTCAGATCTTGAGGTTATGTCAAAGGAATGCTGCCATCTTCCTGTTGATTTAAATCCACTTCATCTTCTTGAAGAGCTGTTGGTTCCATCAAGTCAAGAATGAGTCTATGGTACATCTGGAACAAGAAACCAATCCCTAACTCCCCACTCACTGGCAGGATTTCCACTTACCTTAAGAATTTTAGCTCAGAGATGATGTGGGCTCTCAGAAATCAAAGGATACTTTGGGACCAGTGAGGTATATGAGAGAATACCACTAGATCCAATTAACAAGTGTTTTAACTACCATAGAAGATATTATTCCTATGAATTTCTTTTTTTCTTTTTTTTTTCCTTTTTTTTTGTACAGGATGTTTTCATAGAATCATAGAATTGTTTAGGTTGGAAAAGACCTCTAAGATCGAGTCCAACTGTTTATTTAGCAACACTGTATTCACCACTAAAGTATGTCCCCAAGTGCCATATCCATATGCCTTTTGAATACTTCCAGGGATGGTGATTCCATCACTTCCCTGGGCAGCCTATTTCAATGTCTGACTACCCTTTCAGTGAAGAAATTTTTCCTACTATCTAATCTAAACCTCCCCTGCTGCAACCTGAGATCATTTCCTCTTGTCCTCTCACTTGTTACCTGGAAGAATAGGTTGACCCCCAGCTGGCTACAACCTCCTTTCAGGTAGTTGTAGAGAGTGATGAGGTCTCCCCTGAGACTTCTTTTCTCCAGTGTAAACAACCCCAGCTCCCTCAGCTGCTCCTCATCAGACTTGTGCTTCAGATCCTTCACCAAACCTGTTGCCCTTCTCTGGACAAGCTCCAGTATCTCAGTGTCTTTCTTTTAGTGAGGGCCCCAAAACAGGACACAGGATTCAAGGAGTGGTTTCACCACTGCTGAGTACAAGTGGATGGTCATTTTCCTGGTTCTGTTGGACACATTATTGCTGGTACAAACCAGGATGCCCTTAGCCTTCCTGGCCACCTGGGAACGCTGTTGGCTCGTGTTCAGCTGGCTGTCAACAAGCATCCCCAGGTTCTTTCCTGCCAGGCAGCTTTCCAGGCACTCTTCCCCCATCTTCATGCAGTTGTTGTTGCCTTGGAGCAGGAGGTTTTTTCCACAGAGAATGGCCTCTTGTAAGGGAGAAAAATGTTGCCACATTCAGAGTTGGGAGGGTCTTCTGAAGAATAGGAAGGACTAGGCCCAAGGAATGATTCCCCTGCTAGCAGCATGCTCATGGAAATCACTTGCAACCATCTGCAGCCTTCTCCCCTTTAAGATCCAAAGGGACTTTCACTCCTCAAAAAGAGTGTGAGCACCCATCATGAATGAAAAGACCTACCTCATAAGACTACTGGGTGTAAGTCATGCTATTTGAAATCTCATATCTTGCATGGAGAGGAAACTCCTGGAACTGAAGAGACTTTTCTGTCCAGAAGGAAAAAATATACAATCTGTTTAGCTGTATAATTACTGACTGGTAAAGGTTTAATGTGCCAAACGCTGTAAAAAAAGCAAGTGCTGACTGAACATGCTGGTTTCAGTCTTTTAGCCTGGGCAGCAAGAAAGAAATACAGTTGTTTCCAATCTCATCTGCTTTAGATACAGAGGAACATGGAAAGTACTGAACAGTGATACAGTTTAAAGAACAGTGATACCTCAAATGACTCCTGCCTCATCTACACAAGGCATGAGTGCATCAAAAGGAAAAGACACTCAGACTGGTCTTCATAAAAGAAAGAGCTGTGTCACACATGTGAGTAAATGAACAAGCAGAGAAATCAGCAAAAAACCCTTCATTACAAGTAATGTGGTTCATCTTCCCAGGTTAAGAAAATTATCTTTCCACAGCAGTCCTGATACCTTTAATTTTAGAAAGTCAAGATTTAGAAAGGACTGGCTAGGTGCCTCAGCAGAGCTCACAAACATGAGGAAGAATGGAACATACACTTTTACTCGATGGGGAAGGTTAAAGTTTGCTAGATAGGCAGCAATAAAGAAGCACAAGAACCCCTGCCAGGTACTTGAGTAGAGGCAATTCATAAAACCAAAATTTACTTTAATAAAACGTGACAAAAAAAAAAAAAACATTGCTCAGACATAAAAACTAACAGAACGTAATCAGTCAGGGACAAAAAATGGCAGCACACTTATCACATTCCCAGCTTCAGTCTCAATTGTATCATAAACCCATTTTCTATTACAGCGACATTCTGGTCCACATTTGTTTGAATTACATTTGGGGCAAGGATAGAAGCAACCCAGGCAGTCCATTTCCAAGCAATCACACAAGTCAATGTCGTTACAAAGCAGCTTGCCATGTTTGTCATACTTCTTTGTAAATCTGTGAGAAAGAACAAAAAGTGATTCTTAGAGAAAGTTTCAACACATTCAGAGACTAAACCAAAAAAATGTGGACAATATCTGAACAGGAACAAGTATTTACTCTTTAACAAACTCACAGCATAATGAAATACCAGCACTATATCCTAATTGCAACCACCATTAGTAATAAAAGAAGAATGCCAAAGAAGTATATAAAAATTCTCTTAAATCGCACAGAAAAATCTGGTATTCCCAACACAGCTTTCATGTGTAATTAGAAATCTCTCTGCAAAAAAATAATGCTTTGATTAATTTCATTTAGATTCAGTAAACAGCATACTAGCCCTTTTTTAAAGTAAAGTATGTAATAAATTAGCAATCTTACTTGGACTCATAAAAAATATTTTGCTTCATCTGTGACATGCATGCTTTCTTTTTCTGCTGCCTAGTTTCAGGATTGAAGTCAGCTAGCTGAGGTCCTGGATTTTGAAAGGCTAAGCATTTTAATTGTTTCTCAAGTTTTTGCTATAAATAAACAACAGAAAGTTTGTAATCAGTACAACTGAAAAATATATTTATTAGCTGCTAAGTGTCCTCACTGGCTTTTGAATAATATTAAAATTAATATTCTTGATAAGGTACACAGGTTGGAAAAGGAAGCAATTAAGATCACATTGTTTAAAATGTTTGCTTGTCTAACTGTTAATTGAGTATTCCTTTTACCAACTGTGCATCCTGACAGGAGATGGAACAACCATGACTCTGAATACATGGCTCTGGTACAGTGGTATGGAGTTTACAAGTTGTCTTGTGAGAGGTAGATTTATATGTTTTGTTCTTCAACTTCATCTATAATGTAAAAACAAGTACTATGATTATAAGCATCTCAAATGGATTCATTCTTATCTTCACTGTTCCACCAGATGCCTAGAAATCATCTCTGTTCAAACAATGTGGGGGGGCAAGGAAAATGTCTAATATAGTAAGGATGCATTTGCACAGATGAGAAGTACAGAAAAAAAAAAACCAAACCAAAAAAACCCAAAAAAACCCCCAACCAAACAAAAAAAAACCCCACAGTATAATTTTCTGAGAAATAGGAGGAAGCATTTTCCTGCCAATTTTATGGACTTTATGTTTGAAATTAGCTGAAACTGCTGAATACTTTTGGAAGTTAAAACATTATATCTACGTATTATTATTCTACTTAGCCTATGTATGTTAACAGTTGTGTCTAAGGAAGCAATTTCCCCTTGGACAATGACTGTAGACTTTGACCATACGCTTGCCATTATAAAGGCACAAAAATACATACAAATTTATCTTTTCTCCTCTTAGGTAAATGCAGTTGCCTTGCCACCTATCAGCTGCCCTGGAAGGTATCATTCCTTTCAGAGTCCACAGTGATTTTCCACAAAAAACTGAGCACTTTCATTGCTTCTCATGTGGAAAGCAGTGGTAATTCTGTCCAATCTGCTGACACAGTGATTTAGAATATCTGTACACTTGAGTGCAGTTGTTTTTGAGGTGGTTGATGCTGTACACCTTCAGTTGCACCCCCTGGAAAACCTACAGAGCAATCTCATGTACCTACATTGTTCGGACAGTTATGCTTTGGAGTCCAGGGTAGACATTCAGCATCATCACTCTCCATGACCATAAATTAGGCAATTTTAAGTTGGAAACAAATAATAAGCTATGGAGATTGTCCTCCCTCTAAGATTACTCTCCTATTTCCCTATTTACAGTTTCATTTGAGCTTAGAAGTGCTCTTAGCCCTCTGAATCACTGCACTGCAAACTTGATTTATTTCACAGTTGTTATTACTGATATTTCCCTCTTGACTCCAGCTTTTTATTTTTGTAACGATTGAAGAAAGTGAAGGCAATGGTAATTATCTTGATAATAAAATAGTACTGGAGAAGTCATACCAGTTTTTTGTGTCCTATTGAGCAGGTCTTAGCAGAAGAGACATTTTCTTCTGCAGGTGTTTCCTGGGAAGAATGGCTTTCTTTGCAGTTTTCTTCCACAAGATCGCTCATTTGACCCGCCTTGTGAAATACGTACATATGTGTTAGACATATAAAATAGTATACACAGACTTGTAATTTAAGGTTCTAAGACAAGCAGTTGATATCCATACTAGGCTTTTATGGATTATTGACCAAGAGTAAATTCAGAACAAAATGTGGCTCAGTAACAGCCTTGATTTTAAAACCGTGCTACGATAATATAACGAGCATATACAAAAGCTGTATCACCCAAGACACTTCGTAATTCCTGAAGCAAATGCCGGAAAATCCTTGCCTTTAAATGACCCAGAAATCGAAGGGACGTTGCCCCGTGTTTCTGCCAGGGGGTGCGGAGCTGTGTCCACACGGAGCACACGGCGGGAATGCCGCGGGGCCCGCAGTGCCCGCGTTCACCAGCAGGTGACACTGAGAGGCCGCGTCCATAGCAGCCAGGCTTCCCGGCGGATTCAGTTTTCTCCCTGAAGATTTCAACCAGCGGACCAGAAGTAAGCTTTTAAATCTTGGCTTTTAAATCTCATTTAGATGTTTCGCGAAACATCTAGTATTTTAAAAAGAAATAAAATGTGTAACTTGTAGGTTTAACAGAAAAAAGTGCATTTCCCTGCTTACAAAGTACCCAGGGAGGACCACGGGTTCTGTAAGTCTATCCCGCAAATGTCGTCCATCACCTCTCTGCTGTCAACACAGAAACGGTGGTGGCAGCTGTTCAGGATGGATGATAGCTACTTCTTTTTACCCACTTTGTGAACATAGTTAGTTAAAACTTTTTATGCAATATATGCAGTTCCAGTGCCCCAGATTTTAACCACAAACACAACCAGAAATATTTAAGATTTTTGGAGTTCATCCAACTCTTCCCCAGTTGCTGCCCAGTTTCTCCCATTAGCTCTGAAAGGTAGCACAGTGGTCTCTGTCAGTTTACTCTGCACTTCAGGATTGCTGTCCAAGCCCTGTCCCAAAGATCTTCATTTCACCACTGTCAAAGTGCCAGAACCTCTCTAAGAGAAACAGGAGTCCAAGCTCTAAGTTTCTTCCGTCGCAGCCACTTCCTGCAGTGAAGTGGGAATAGGAATGAGAAGGGAGAGATCTTGTAGTAACAGGAGGGAATTTTTTTTTTTTAAGAAGTGAAAAGAACAGCCCTCAGCCTGTTTCGGAGGGGGTTTCCCTTTTTCCTCTTCAGTGGCCTGAAGAATGACAGATGTGGCACCATTCACAGTATAACATCACTTTTAATCCTGGGACTTGGGTGTCATTTCAGGATTAGAAAAGGAAATCTATTATCAGGCAGTTAATATTTGCTGTATGGGGGAGCTGCATTCCTACTGGAAATTTGCTAGGGGTCCATAAATGAAACAAGAACCACTCCAGAGAAGGTGAGTATTGCTCTTCATTTGCACCCAAGTTGAAGTCCTGGTAAGGATTTGCTTCCTACGTCTCCTGTTATGTCCAACCATACATTGTTAAAGCACTTTATGAGTACTCATGATCATCATCCATGCCTGTCATATTACAGTATGCACGGTTCAGGAGCAGAACAGCCATCAGCAGCTACCAGTGTAAGCAGGCAGAATTCTTGCATGTCCTCTGCTGTGTAAAAATTCAACTCCTTTGGCAACTAGGTTCTAGCAGTTATCTGGAACCAAACACCTAAAATCAGAGGCCGCATTTTAAATACTGACAAAAAAGAACAAGTGTCTTGTTCCAAATATGTGTTCCCAATGCCCTTGCACCTCAGCAAAAATATCCTACACAAAGAACGTAGCACATTTCTGTCTTCATATACACTGTAAATATATAGTGTTGAATTTTAATCACAGGAACGATACCAAAAAAATGAAGTAGAATATGACTAGGAAAGTGCGCAAATTTCAGAAATTAGTGAGACTCACAGACTAATTACCTTCCGTAGTGTGTTCTGAAGGGGGATAGGAAAATGAGGGAGACTCAGACATCCACTATCACGTTTGCAGAACCTGATTATCCAAAGGAAAATATTCTTGATCCTGAAACAGAGGGGTTTTGTCTACTGCTTTTGGGTTGACTGTACTGATAATCCAGGGGCAGTGCATTTGACACTCATCTCTTCCATAATAATTTCAACTCTGAGGACAAGCATCAAGTGCACTGTTTCTCCACCAAAACCTGTGTTCTCCCACGCTTTTTGCATACAGCAAGTACTTCTTGGACGTGATCATCCACAGCTCAATATCCCGCTGTGGCCACAGCATATGGCTAAGAACCAGCAATTTCAGCAGAGCCTTGAAACAGCTGACAAGGCTAAAAGGAGATTAAGGAAGGAAGAAAATCAGAATCTGTGCTATATTAAAAGAGTCTTACCCATGACACAGATGTTTCTGCTCAGAGAACAGATTCAGAAGATGTTGGGATTTGGAAGGAACTGCATTTGCTTATGATAATCATATAAGAAATATTTTCCTGTATCTGCTCTTTCAAAATTTAATATTCTATTTATGATCCTTGCAGATTACACAGCTAAATATTTCAGCTGACGAGTGGATCCCTTCCAACACAGAATATTCTGGGAAATCTGAAATGTGGTGACTGGCATACTAGACACTTCAAGCTGCCTGATATCAGCAGCCTTAAGCTAGTGTCTCTGCAGGGCTTGCCAGAGTGAATGGACATTGTTTTCAAGTTGTATTTTTTTGTGTCACTGGAGAGGTTCCATCTGAGATATGAAAGCACGTTCATCACCTTCACCAGTGCAAGATAAGATGTTGTCCCTGTGGTTTTAATCTCCCTATTCCCACATGGATTTAACTGGCCTATTGCAGCAGTCCCATCTTCCTCACAGCGTAGTTCTGCAGAGATGTCTGTGGGTTCAGGAACCAGCACTCAGGTTTGTGGCACATTCAAGTACACATCTTGGAATTTCTATAGGCCATCTTGTGCCACTCAAATTAAGAATGGGAATATATTAATCTTAGGATCAACTAAGCTGTAAAGGCGTGGAAAGACCATTTACCATCTAGTCTGTGCCTTCTCTCAAGCCCCAAATGTGCTTGTATGTTCAGAAGACAGCCTTGAAGTGAGCTAGGAAACACAGATTAGATGAAGAAATAGGTCTCATCCCCTATAACTCAGCTGGTTTCCCAGAAAACTGACAAACATGGTGACAGAGCAATGGCCTATTGTGTGACAGGATCCAGAGGAGCAAATACATCCCTCCCCCAGTAAAATAAAACAAATCCTCATGAGTTCTCCCTCTCAAACCCAGAGACTTTCTGTTGTATCTGTGAAGGATCCTGTAGCTGAAGTGTAAGAGTTAATTATAACATCATGTGCATCTTCTGGTTGTCATGCAAGAGGCAGAAGAGACCTGCCAGACTTACCTTCTGAAAACATGCAGTTCTGAAGGGTGTATATTCAGTTCAGAGCAGCCAACATGAGAGATAGGAGGTTCTCCTTAATTTTAGATTGTACTTATCAAGGAGAGGGGATGGCACAGCGTAGATTTACTGCTGCACAGTAAGTCCCAGAGTGACTGAAACAGAAGACAAATAATCAAACTAGAGCTCCCCAGAGAAGAAGGTTGAAGACAATACCAGGTAACTGTCTTATAGGACCTCACACTTTCTGTCTCATTAATTATGGCTTTTAAATAGTACTTAGCACAAAGAATGGAAATAGAGAAATTCTATAAACTGGAATGAGTCCTCATTTCTCATTTGCATCTGTGAAAAACAGAGCAAATGTATTTCTTAGCACCTTTTTTTCCCCTTAGAGCTAAGTAAACAAAAAACCTGTAATAAACCACTGCATTTTTTTAATTTTAAGTTTTTTTAAAAACAGAGATATTTTTAGAACATGGATGAAGTAAAGAAATGTTTTACCATTCTTGACAAAATGTTCTGGATTCTATTCACTGTTTCCAAAAGTCAATATATAAACATACTCCTCGATAACTAAAGTGACATGCAACCTCATGGTTCAGCTTGCTGCCTTTCAGGTTTATTTTTTGCACTAGTGCAGACAACTCAGTCTCCTCCTGATCCCTCTAGATGCCAATTTTCAGCATCCTACAATCACTAATGGCTCTCATTATGCTTCTCTAGAACACACCTTAATCCTAACAAGCACCTGAAATTGTCAAGTCATATAAACTCTCCTGTTGTGGCTTAGACAAATAGTCCAGCATGTCCTTTTATCTTCATCAGCTGTACCCACCGATTCTCTGAGGTATTTCACAACTCAGTCTGAGGGCAAGAGATTTATTATTTACAGTACTATTTTCTTTCCCTTCGAGAACTTTTAAAACCAAAAGCTGATGTAGCATTCTAGCAACAGAAGTTAGTTAGGTGATGTAAATGCGAATAAACACTCCTTCATTTTGTTCCACAGTTTGTTGGGGGTTTTTTGCTGTGAAAAACAAACAGAAATCCCTCAAGAGAAAAAAAAAATCACAATCTCCAAGGTACTCATACAACAACAAGCCAAAATCAAAAATCCTACAAGTGGTTTTACTGTCATATATTTTTCCAAGGTTCTGATTTCTTCATATTCTACATGAGGGAGAAAACAGGAATTAACTCTATCAGTACACATGTTACAATTAAACTATCTTATGCTTAATATTTTCTTCCATTTTACTAAGTACACGTGTATCTGACCTTTTCCTGAATTGTTTGTGCATGAGTTATACTTGTTTATCATGGCATACATGATAACACACAGCCTTCAATCAGCTCAAAGTAGCTTTTACTGGGTGGATGTTAGGCTACAGGGATGCACATGTACAAGGATTAAAATCTTAGTTGGCATTTAGAGAGCTTGATTTAGCTGGTGGGGTTCCTACAGGGACAAGTCTTCCCCACCATGAGCACATGACTGTGAATACACATGGGTAGATATAATACAAATATCCCTACTGTTGGGAAGGGAGATGGGAAAAGGGGGGAGCAGATGTGTCGAATTTCTGTTGAGCTTCCTGCAGCCAGAAAAATGGGGCAGCTGAAGAGAAAAACACCACATTTTTCGGTGTAAAAAATTAACCTGTGATGTTCTTGTCGCATTGGAAAACAGTTCCTTGGAGTTCTACGATTTCGTTGTTACAATGTTGACACAGCGTGAGGCCACAGCTGGTGGTCCTCACATTTGAGAGCTAATTTGCCCCCTTCTCCCCTCATCTCCATTTTTTCCAAACAACTGAGTTTATCAGGTATTTCTGCCTCTTGTTTCTTTCTTTGTTTTTCTTTCAAATCAGCAACAGCCCCTGCGGGGCGTGGGCAAGGGGCGGAACAGACGGGGAAAAAGCACACGAAGTGCGGGAGGTGAGTTCAGTAGCCGAGATGCCCAGGCGAGGAGGGTGTGAAAGGCTTGTGTGAGGCACAAAGGCCAGAACAAGCCCCCCTTCTCCAGAGAACGCTGTTAATGCTCCTTGCCCGGCCGGGCACTCCAGCTGCGGAGAGACCCCCCCCGTGCCTCGCCTGTCTCCGTGTCTCCCTCAGGCAAATGCAGCCGCTCCCACCGACTCGCGCCGTGTGGCTGAGCCCACAGCAGAGCTGCGGTTTTATCTCCCCCGTGGCCCGTGTCCACAGAGCTGCCTCGGCCGCAGAGGCACATTCCTACCCCCCTCACCTCACAGCGCTGCTGCCACCGGGACCGGGGCGGTCCCCGGGCGGGATCCCCGCCCGTTCCCTGCTCCCTCCCGGCCGCAGGGGGCCGCTGGCGCTCTCGGCTCGCACACGCTCCGCCCTCACTCGCCTGCCTCGCCGGTCCTTCCCGGTTCTCCCCGGTGTTCCTCGCGCGCTGTGCAGCGGCCCCAAGGCTCCCTCTTGTCGCGCTGTCCGCTCTGCGCGGCCCCAGCCGTTAGCCGAGCCGGCCCGCCTCGGGGAAAACCCGCTTGGGAAAGGACAAAAGCGCCGGGTGGGCAGGGGAGCGAGGGGGAAACCGCAAAGGGAGGAACGGCGGTGCGAGCGCCGAGGTGAGTGACCGCGGCGGGGGCTCGCAGGGCCGAGCAGGTGGATGGTGTTCGTTGGAGGAACTGCGGCCTGTAGGAGGGACCCTGGAGCAGGGAAGCGGCGTGAGGAGCGGGACGGAGTGCGAGCGAGGAGTGGTTGTGGGCTGACCCCAACCCCCGTTCCTTCTTGTCGCTGGGCTGCTCCACGGGAGGAAGTGGAAGAGTTGGGAATGAAGATGAGCCTGGGAAAAAGGGAATGTGTGGGGAATGGCGATGTTTTAATTTTTGGTTTTGTTTCTTACTATCGAAGTCTATTTTAATAGGCCAGAAATACTAGACATCTATTTTAATAGGCCCGGTTCCAGCCATTAACAAGGTAATTTTTGCGGTAGCCAGGACCCCTGGCATGGCCAGGACGCCGATGTTATTTTATACCACCTCACAAGGGGGGCAGCGAAAAAGGGAGTCCCTTCTGAGTTAGCGTAGCAAGGCAGAGGGAGCAATCCAGTGTCTTTTTGCCTCTTTCTTGTACCCTCTGTCATTAGTATTGCTGCTGTTACTGTTTGGTATTTTTATCTCACTCCTGTTTCCAGTAAATTGTTTTTATCTCACCTTTTTCTGCCTCCAGCTCTCCTCACCAGCCAACTGCAGTGGGAAGGGGAGGGAGAACAGGGAATGAGTGAGTGAGTGGCACATGGCTTGGAGAGTCTCAGTGGGAGTACTAAACTGGGGAGTACCATTTCCAAACCACAACATGCCCCTGATGGTAATCGGTAAGTTATCTCCCTACATGAGCTATTTCACCTCATTTTCTCCCTGCATCCTGTTCAGGAGTGGGAGAGCATCAGGATGGGTATTTCACGGATAGCCAAAGTCAACCTGCCCATCCCCACTCATGTCCTTGTCTCATAAATCCCGTCACAAAGAATCACAGACAACAACCTCCAAAAGACCGGAACCCATTGTCCCTCTGTCATGGGGAAGATTTTTACCACTTAAAGAACCATTGCCAGAGGTATCAGCAGTAGTGATTTTATTGAACTAAGATATTGTAAAAGTAAAACTTAACAAAGGGCAAGTTTCATTCTGTTATTTACTGCACAGAGTTATGATTCAAAGTTACCAATGCAAAATCTTAGTGTGCTATAATACAGGGTTGTGCACTATATTGGTCATTTACCAAAGCGGTTGGTAAAGGGTGTTTCAGCCTCTAGAAGCAACCTGAGAGGTGTCCCACCTCCAAGGCAGATTACCCCATGCAGCAAGCTGCTTAGCAGGGAGAGCTCAGAGAAGGCTCTCTTAAGCTGTAATATTTATGGAATAAAGCAGTTGGCTCACAGCCAAATTACAGGTGATGGAAAAGGTAACTTTGAGACTCCTTGTATCTACAGCTCCCTGTGTTCCTTGACAAATGAGTCTTGGAAGAACCACCTGCTATTGTGTTAGTCACATATTGGATGTTCCAGTTTCCAAGCTCAAATGCATCAACGTTCACCATGTCACCCTGTTCCTGCGTGGGCTATCAGAGAACAGCTTGACACTAGGGACGTTCTTAGCCAAGTCATGGTCTATGCCTTTCCTGCCTTTGGAGCCTTAACCAAACTACTGTTAGTTTGGCCAAGGGGTTGGGTCCATCCATCTCACCTGGCTCCAGAGGACCCCCTTCACCTTTGGGCCAGGGGATGCAGAGATGACAGTATTTTTTGTATTTTGTGAGTCTTTGCAAAGCAGAAATGTGGCAAGGCCACATCTCAGTTCATTTTATGGCATTTTAGTCCCCATTCCTTTTGCCTACCTCATACTGACCCTTCTGGGATTTGGAACAACCCTGAAAGAAGCAGAAGGCTGCTCCACCCACCTCATCCATGCGTGCCATCATGCAGCCAGGAGGCATGGGGCTTGCACTTTGGCCACCTAGGCCCCACAACCAGCTGCTTTCTCCTCATCTGCCTGGGAGGCTTCTTAGGGTGCCAGGATTGAAAGGAGATGCAGGCAGAATGGGGCAGCAGGGCAACTATGTCAGGAGGTGCAGAGGAGAAGTTGGCTGGTACCCTTGAACCTTGTCTTAAACAGCGCTAAGTCTCTGTTTCTACTGGGAACTGCTTGACATGCATTGTTGCCAGCTCCAAAGTGTGCTGCCCTGTCACACATGGATGCGGTAAAGGAAGAACAAGTGTAACTTTTGACTTCCACACTCTCAAGGCAGAGAGCAGGACTTAAGGCAAAAAGCTGATCTTTTTTCATCAAATGTATTTTTTTCTGCCCCAGGGCCTACTGGATGCATCCTGGGTATCAATGACTCAGCTTTTTTCACTGGAAATCGCCCTGTACATGCACATCTTCACAATTACATCCCGTAGCACAGACCTCATAGGTACTATTAAAGTTCATTTCCTGGACTCCAATCCATGTCCTCATACTCATTTTCAATGAACTTCCTTTCATTCCAACTCTCTTTGCAATAAAGTAGCTTTCCCAGCTTGTCCTGGATTCCTCCCATGCACCTCTCCTTCCCTTGCTGCATTTCTCAGTTACCACTCTCCAAACCTGTGTGCTCAACAGAAGTACGGAATATAACCTTTTCCATCTTCCTCATATGTTTTTGCCACCAACTTTTACCACACCTTTCATTTGGATATTGAGAAAAAATGAAGGATTTAGAACTGTATCTGTACATTAGATCATCATTAGCAATGCATCCCTACTAAATCTCATCCAGTAGGAAATTAATTTAGATATAATATGCAAATATGTTTATACTTTCTTTTGCTGAATCTTTCTTTTCTATGTGAATTATTTTAGCCTGACTTTTCAGATGGGAAAACAACCACGGAACTCATAAAAATGTGCTTTATCTTTAATTACAGCTTAAAATGAATACTCAGATGATACTGAATCACGCTTTAAAATATACTGGAAATTGTTTTCCAAGTCAATCATCTACATTTTTCTCTAACCAGCTGGCAACTTTGATTAGTAGTTTTTTCCTTTCAATATTTTCAGATTTTGTAGATTCCAGTAGCAGAGTAGTAGCCTCTCTCTCGTCCTCTTCCAGCGTAGCATTATAAAAAACTTGCAACTGAAGAAATAAATGCATGAGCTTAGTTCACATAACTTCACTTGCAGCAAGCAACTGAGTGCCTGGCAGATGCTTTAGACAGAAGTGCAAGAAAAGAAGGAGATGACAGAGACTAAAGAGGGGATGGGGCAAGCTTACTGATTTACACTACGGTTGGAAAACTCCTTACATATCAAGAATGTGCCCTTTTGCTGTTCCTCTAAAAATCCTTTCAAATGCAGCCAACTTCACTGGTACCACACTGTCTAGGACTAGTTGGGTAGCAGAATCCTCTTGTGCTGCCTGTTTTACATTCACAGAACGAGAAATCTTTCTCATCAGTCTAATAAGCAAAAGAAAAGAGAGTACTGAAAAATAGTGAAGAAATATAGGGGGGGAGCGGTGAACAAACAATATGAGAAATTAAACAGATCCCAGTATGACAACCTAATGCACCAGCAGCCCAACTTTGGTACATTTTCTGTAGACATCATAGCAAAGGTTATCTCTACAGATAGATTTTATAGAGAAAAATGAGATAGTTTTGATAGAATTTATTGGGACTCAGCTCCAAACTTGAAGGTTTGGAACACATCAAAATTATGTCCTATGATTTCTTTAAAAAACAAGAGATGTAAAAAACTGTATTTACAAACTGGCAATAAAGTTAAAACTGGCAATAAAGCTTCTCTGGTTTACCTCTTGGATCTGTACATCTGTATTGACAAATCTTCCCATGACTTTTAATACATCATGCAACAATTCCTGCCCATATCTGCAAAATTGAGATAAAGGTCCTTCAAACAGCATGCTAGCAAATATACTAAATTTCATCTCATTTGAAAATACTTACACTAGTTAGTGATTATTCACTATGTTGCAGATACCAACTAAGCTGAACTTTGTAATTGTGTATTCTTTTTCCCTTTTAAAGAAATACCGTTAACATTCAGTTTAGACATTTGAGCAGGATGAAGCACAATAATTATCCTTCATTTCCATTTCCCAGTAAGATCTGGTATTTTTACTGATATTGTGAACCCACACAGCCAAACTGAGCTAGAAAGGCTAAGCAGTACTGATTCTAACCAGTTTGTGTTTCTGTTGATATCTGAGGATGGTGTATAAATAAACTCGCACTGTTCTTTTAGTTTGAAAATAATGGGTCAATTTCCTAGCAAATTTTTCATCAATACAGAAAAGCTTTGTTGGTATGATGCAAATCTGCTACAGCTTGCCTTTCCTAGTGTTAGCAATAAAGTTACACATTTGAATGTACAAAGTGGCTGGTTTTGGTTATGCTGCCACTGATGGATCACAATGACCTCCTCTGCCACCAAGCACCTGGAATGTACTCTGTGACAGCCCTACTGCTTTTCACCAGTGCCAAGGAGAGAGGGAGTCTTCAAACAGACATCAGAATACTTGCTTTGCTCAAGACAGGTAGCCCAACCTCACCTCCAGTTTACCTACAGCAGTGCAGGTAGGCTGGAGGTGGATTAGGACTTAAGTCAAGGAATAATATTGTAGTTTGTCCTAGCAGTGCTTGCAGACCTGCATGCTCTAATCCCCCATCTATCCCTACTTTCTTTGGAAAAGAGGTTACGATCTTATTCCATCATTTTACACCCATGCTTGTGAAACGCTAGTAGATAAACCCATTTCTAGAGTCAGAGTTTCCAAGGAACCTAACACTTAAAAGCACTGAAACAGTCATGAACAGACTAATTTTTAAAGCGTTCTATGTTTGACACGAGCTCTTCTTTGACATTAAGCCATGATTGTAGTTGAATCCTCTGAAAACTCTGTTCTGCACACTTTAGAAATTGAATCAATCATTACAAATAGCCACCTGTGGAAGGAAAATCTGCACCTGAATTTTACAGCTTAAACATAAAGATGGAGGAAGAAGCCAAAGGGCCACAGAAATAAAAGGAAGCCAAAGCTGGTTACTTACCTTTCACTTAAAAGTGACCAATTTTCAGTAACAAATTCCCAGGCCATACGATGCCCAATATCCTTAGCCACCACATTTAAGATGACGGTTGAAGTACAGTTAGAAGAAAATAATGTATCACTGAGTCCATATTGCAAGTATCTGATAGAAAAGGAGGTAAGAAATGCACCAGTCACTTGCTGCTGATCATGCCAATGATCTGGAAATATATCTCAAAAAATATCAGCATGTGGAAGGTTATACCAAAGTTGGTGTCACTCTGAGCTGTGTGTTCAACTTGGGTTTTGTCCTTAACATTGGTGAAATCCCATTCTTGCACACTAACTCTTCATGTCTTAGTAAAGTGAGGGCATAGCATACCAGGTGGGCATACAGGCATTTCTTATCTTTGTTACAGAAAGGTAACTGCTCCTACCAGACAAGCCAAAGAAGGGCAAACTGCTTGTCACTTTCAGGAGGTTCACTTTGCTGTGACACAGGTGGAGCCTAGAGAGTATGGCGGCAGACACACTGTTACACAGAGGTGACCTGTTTATAAGGGTTCCCTACAAGAAGACCCAGGAAGAAGCTTTTTCATGGGGGTTAAGGCAGGGTTCCAGAAGTATTATAAGAACTACCAGCCAGTGATGTCAGTGGCAGTGACTGCCTGAATATCTTGAGAAGGTAAGTATTTTCTTTGTTGCCTCAATCTTTCACAGCTTTCATGCTCCTATTTTCAAAGGAACACTTCTAGAGTTATTCTTCTCATAAGGTCTTGC